TGTCTTCATTCTGTATATTGTCTTCCTCTGCATGTTCATATAGCGCATTCGAAGTGGCGCAGCGACGATGATGATGGCACCAGGGTTTTACGTACACTCCGTTAGTCGGTGCCCCGGCACGGATTTTAAAAAATTTAGGGGCGCAAAATTTTCAAAACAAAATGAGAAAAAAAAAATCGCAACAGAGTTTCTGAATTAGTTAGAAAAGTTTCTGAAAAAATTCTAAAAAGCAATAAAACAATCTAATTTTATGTACTAATGAGCAAAAACTTTCAAGGCACTGCTCCAGTAATCTATATGTATAAAAGGTAATGTCTGCGTGAATTTTGCTCCAAACTTGAGCATTGCTCTAAGAATTTTACTAACTCTTCCAATAAGTGTTGCATCCGGGGAACGTAGTTTTTCCAAACTAAAAATAATCAATAACTATTTTCGAACAACAACATCTCAAACAAGATTGTCAGACCTCGCTCTATTAGGAACTGAGTATGAACTGAGTAGCAGTTTAGATGCTTCTGAATTAATTAGAGATTTCTCTGAACTAAAAGTTCGTAAAAAAAAATTACGTTTGAATTATACTCCTGTAAACTGTTTTTTAAATGAAGTATTTTAAGTGAAAAGTTATTATAAGTATTTGTGTCAATTACTGAGATACACTGTTGTTTTTTGAACGTTCGCTAAATAAATGTAAAAAGAATACCATATATCTTTTTTTAATGCTTTGTAGTTCTATAGGGGCGTAATTTTTTACTTTTGCACGGAGCGGTTCAAAGGCTAAATCCGACCCTTGATGGCCACAGAACACGTTAGTGCGCTTCTTTTTTAAAAACAAATCTGATGAGAGGGCGAAAAAAAATACATTGACCCAGGAGCCGTGTGCACATGCAAAGCCACTGATGGCTACCGGGGGCATAATACCAACCTTTACAGGAATAGGGACAATGGAGAAATTTCGAGCGTGCTGATTGGTTGTTTCATCAGCGTCGCGTATGATGTCATAAACTTACTGTCTAGTTACCTTATGGTGGTGATCAAAATACATTTAAAGTTTATCCTCTGATGAATACGAATTAACATCTAAAAATACGATTTTTAAACGAATTGTTCTAACGAAAATACCTTTGTCATTTCCAATGAATTTCAATCTTTCTACAACAAATTTGAGCTTGATAGAATGGCTTGAAATATTGAGTGCGAAACAAAATAAAGAGTGGCGCCATCTCTGAGCAAAATATGATAACTGCTATTTTTAATTAAATATTTAAAATTTTCTTTTTAAATTAAAGTGCGGTCTTTCATTCGAATTTAAATTGAAAGCCATTAATTTTCAATGTGAATATTTTGCACTGTCAATTATTTTATAATTTCTGACTTTTCAATTTGTCAAACTTTTTTTCCTATTTCTTCCTGATATTACAATTTAAGTAACCAGTGGGAGTGGCCTCCCCTAAACTTTCTCGTATACTGCTAAAAAATTTGTCATTTTCCCTCCCCTTGCGTGGATAAAAAAAATCGAACCTACTGTAATCCAGAATGCAACGAATATCAGAAGGTTTTTCATTGCAGATTATAGTGATTGTAAAATATTTAAGTGAAGAATCATATTAAAAGGGATGCCTATGTATTAAAACTTAGCGATATTTATTTTCCATCACACTCCAGGAAGATCCGCTATTATACGAGCGAGCGAAAACAAAACAGGAGATAAAACATATCAATCACAAACTCTGTCTCAAGGACAAATGACGTAATCCTCCCGCTTGGTACCAGAGATAGCTAAGTAGGCATGCGCGTGGAGATGGTTTTGAAACGAAGGCTTAACAAGTATGCGATTATACAGACCGACAGACAGTCAACCCGTTGACGGATTTGGACCAAAATTTTATACGGACCTACATTCATGACGATAAAACTGTGTATAAAATTTTATCCATCTGGCTTTTCAAGTTTTTGAGTTATAGCGTTCGCATGACCTCGAACATGCAGACAGACAGACTTCCCGTTGACGGATTTTGTCCAAAATTTGATAGAAACCTACAAATTATGTTTAAAGACCACATTCCAAATTTCATCCCCGTAGCTCTAATAGTTTTCGAGTTATCGCGTTCACAGACAGACATAATTCCAAAATTGAGTTTTTCGGACTCAGGGAGGTCTAAAACGTGGAGATTCGTCAAAATCTCGAGTTCGAATTTTTTGACGATTACAATACTTTCTCTTTGTGTACTTCGTATACGAGAAAGTAATAAAAAAGGAAGTAATTTATTTAGACTTTTCGTTTTGAGAAAGAGATATCATTAATAACTAAACAATTTTTCAATTTATCTGCTGATCTGAAAACTTTATGAATTTCTTTAGTACATTTTTATTGCTTAACTGGAACTTATCACTTACACATAGTCACTCTTTCTCTTTCGTACATATATAATATTCATGGTATCTGTATTCATAGTTACAAACTACTGCTCATTATTAAAATTGAAACGAGAGCCCTGATAATTAGAGAAGGTTTCAAAAGAAAAACAAAAAAGGTGATCCCTTTTAAACTTTTGTATTTCTTATGCATTTTTTTTATTAATACTTCAATAACAAGTAATAATCTGGCGTCATACGTGACGTTGCTGAAACAACCAATCAGCATGCTTGAAATTTTTCCATTGTCCCTATTCCTGTAAAGGTTGGTATTATGCTACCGGGGGTGAAGAAGATCATAGTACGACCTGGGCGCCATTTCCCCTCTCTGCGACATGAGACGTTCGTATTTTATCACTGATCTTAAATGATTCATCACTAAACTAATGCAATATTCAGGCTTTTCATGTACGCATTTCTGTGTACGATTATTTATTTGAATTAATACTGAATATCCCACTTTTTTTAATTCAATTTCAGAGTGCATTTTTCATAAAGTATTGACTTATAGAAACTGGGGATTAATAGGCAAAAACACGGTAAAACTAAATTAAAAGTTAAAGTAAATTTCATGCTTTTATCCATACATTTTATAGGTATATAACTGAGAGCTAATGCTTTACTTAACCCAGCAAAAACTCGCAAGTGATATTTTTATTCAATTTATACTTCAGGTTTCGCTGATGATGGCAAGAGTTTCGACATTTTGTGGCAAATGCGCGAAATTATGCTTGTTCGATGCTCCTCACCCTCCAATACTCGCAGCACACGAAATGCTTAGGCTCATCCGCCGAATGCTCGTCAGCACCGACGAACTCGAGCGAACGCATGAAGCTCCTGAACTTTAGCCAGCTTTGGCAATGCTCGTGGAATCGGTTCGTTACCAAGTTGAGCGAACTCGCGAGCATGTAAAAGTTAGAATAAAATTTCGCATCTGAAACCTAAATTTTAAAAATTTCTGATATTGCAGGAATTTATTAATCAGGTTTATGTAAAACACTTTTATGAAAAATTTTTGGCTACAATAATTTAAACTATAAAACAGATTCGTAAACAAAATTTGCAGATTCCAGTTCTTTGAAAGACGAGCTTCTCTGTTTCCATAATAAATATGGATTCCGTATTTTAACGCTGACATTTGTTACAGATTGAGATCCCCCGCCGATAAAAGAGCGATTCCGATTTGACAGCGAAATCGGCATTTCAGTGAGGCGAATTCAAATTTCTCTTTGAAGGGAGCTGAGAGATGGAGAGTTTTCCACAAACTGATACTTTCGGAAATCTTCTAACAGTAACATTGAATTTTAGGAAAGTCCTGTGAATACCCATGTATATATAAATCAAATATATTATTTAAATTACAGTTCATCGATAACCGTTCGAGGATTTCAAGTTTAAAAAATATCAGTTTGTGCAAGAACCCTCGTCGTTTAGCTTCTTTTAAAAAGAAATCGAAATTCACCTCACTGAAATGCCGACAGCTTTCTGAATTTTAACAGTATCTGGAATTTTTATGTATGTTGCTCTATATACTCGTATCTGGCTTTGAAGTTACGAAATTACGCTACGTTTTGCACATGCACAGTAAAAAATTATTTTGTACAAATACTCATTTTCCTCTATTATTCAGCGTATTTACTTTAAATTTCAAAACTATACTTCTGTAAAATATTGTCGAGTGTTCTGTAAGTTTCGTATAATTTAAATGAACACTCTACATGTTATAAGCAAAAAAATGCGGGAAAATTTGGGATATTATAGAGAAACTTTTATATTTTCCCGAATGTGCATGCTATTTTTACGAAAATGCATGTAAGCAATGTGCATTGCAAACAGAACCATGAATGAAAGTTTCAAATATAATGATTTGAAACTTTCATTAATGGTCTGTCGGATCACCCCCTCATTAATGGTCTGTCGGATTACCCCGATTCAGCTTCCTGTGAAACGGGGTGAGCCGACATCCCTTTTCGTCTTCATCAAATTCTGGTTCGTCTCCTAAATACACTCGTGACTGAAACTTCAATGTAAAATGTGAATGATACTCGATTGGATGTCACATGATTCTCCAGGACTGATTTAGAACCGTAGTTTTCGCATAAATTGCTAATTTCTCGCATTTTACGAAACAGCGCTTAATTTTTAAGGGACATTCATGTAGACAATGAACAGAACAGACGCAGGGTTACTGAAAGAACACGGGTTAAATCTCGATCACAATTTCAAGTTCAAAATTAATGATAACCATTTATATCATGTTATGTAAAAGAGATTGAATTGAAACTATACTCCCAGCGAAAAAAGTTAGTCGCAGGAGGCGGCAGAATAGGTATATAAAATGTACCAGAAATATCAATGAATTCATTTTGTCGTCCCAAAATAAAGTCATTGATTTAAGGAACTAACTATTTTTTAAGGTGCCAGCGTTTTTAAATAATTTAATCACACGCTTTCTCCGATCAAAGATGCAAACATATTTCAATAGGCCTGGTCGCAAATAAAGTCACCACTATCACATGAATGAAAATTTAATCCTCGCGTTTGAGGTTCCAAAACTTCTGAGGAAAATATGAAACTCGAAGCGTCGCTGCAGGTGTAGGGAATCGAACCCAGCACATTTCACATGCAAAGCGAGCGCTCTACCTCTGAGCTACACCCACGGACGACAGGAGATGCGCAGACTGCGAACAGTAAGAATCGACAACCGGTAATGAAGGAAAAAGAGAGTCAAAAATTGAAGAAATGCCTCTGGAGGTGCAGGGGATCGAACCCGGGCCTTTCACATGCAAAGCAGACCTCTACCACTGAGCTACACCCCGGACGACAGGAGACGTCAGACTGCGAACAGTAAGAATCGAGCCAGTAATGAAGAAAAGACAGTCAAAATTGAAGAATGCCTCTGGAGTGCGGGGATCAGACGGGCCTTTCACATGCAAAGCGAACGCTCACCACTGGCTACACCCCCGACGACAGGAAGCGTGCAGACTGCAACAGTAAAGTCGACAACCGTAATGAAGAAGAAGTCAAAAATTGGAATGCACTCTGGATGGGGATCAGACCCCGGGCCTTTCACATGCAAACGAACACTCTACCACTGAGCTACCCCCGGACGACAGGGGTGCAGACTGCGAACAGTAAGAATCGAAGCAGTAATGAGAGAAAGAAGAGTCAGAAGAAATCCTCTGGAGGTGCAGGGGATCGAACCCGGGCCTTTCACATCAAAGCGCAACTCCCTGAGCTACACCCCGGACGACAGGAAGCGTGCAGACTGCGGAACAGTAAATCGACAACCGGTATGAAGAAGAAAAGAAGTCAAAAAGGAAATGCCTCTGGAGGTGCGGGGATCAACCCGGGCTTTCACATGCAAACCGCAACGCTACACCCCGGACGACAGGAAGCGTGCAGACTGCGACAGTAGATCGACAACCGTAATGAAGAAAAGAAGTCAAATGAAGAGACCTCTGGAGGTGCAGGGGATCAGCGGGCCTTTCACATGCAGCGAGAACGCTCTACCACTGAGCTACACCCCGGACGACAGGAAGCGAACCGTGCGAACAGTAGAATCGACAACCGGTAATGAAGAAAAGAAGTCAAATGGAAATGCCTCTGGAGGTGCGGGGATCAGACGGGCCTTTCACAGCTAAACGAACGCTCTACCACTGAGCTACACCCCGGACGAGCAGGAAGCGTGCGGGCCTGCCCAGTAAGAATCGACAACCGGTAATGAAGAAAAAGACAGTCAAAAATTGAAGAAATGCCTCTGGAGGTGCGGGGGATCGAACCCCGGGCCTTTCACATGCAAAGCGAACGCTCTACCACTGAGCTACACCCCCGGACGACAGGAAGCGTGCAGACTGCGAACAGTAAGAATCGACAACCGGTAATGAAGAAAAAGACAGTCAAAAATTGAAGAAATGCCTCTGGAGGTGCGGGGGATCGAACCCCGGGCCTTTCACATGCAAAGCGAACGCTCTACCACTGAGCTACACCCCCGGGCGACATGAAGCGTGCAGACTGCGAACAGTAAGAATCGACCACCGGTAATGAAGAAAAAGACAGTCAAAAATTGAAGAAATGCCTCTGTTTTGAAAGGTCTGGCGTCTGATCCCAGACACCTCCGATAGCGTTTCTTTATTGATCTTCTTTCTTCATTACCGGTGTCGATTCTTACTGTTCGCAGTCTGCAACCTCCTGTCGTCCGGGGGTAGCTCAGTGGTAGAGCGTCTGCTTGCATGAAAGGCGCCGTCGATCCCCCGTACCTC